GTTATCAGACTCCTTGACAAGATGAGTACATAGAAATGAGCATCTGGTGCAACCAGTCCCTTTAGGATGTGCCGCGCATTCGATACCCATTCAGAAGCGTAGTAACATCAGGACTGAACGGGACATCCTTTGGGATTGAACGCAGGAGGGGGCAAGAACTCGAGTTAAAGTGAAAACAGCTCACGCACGCTAAGGACCCTCCTCGTAACCCAACGCACGCTAAGGACCCTCCTCCTAACCCAAAGCTTCCATACGTTTCCATGAAGAAGTAGATCTTTATACGGTTCCAAAAGTCATGCCCCCGTATATTGCGATAGCGCCGGACTCATAAATATTTCACTATGCAATGACAGAAAACACCTGACGTACGAGAAAATGCTCCCTTCCTCTTAATTACGTCTTAATCCATTTCATCCCATTTTTGCACTTATTTGGATACCGAGAGCAGGGAAGAAGGCTTTTCCTTGATTCGCATGGCGTTCAACCGAGATATGATCCATGCTGCCATCACGTGGTAGACGCTGCAATCCATGTCAAGGTCATCAGAAACGAACCAAAATCAAAGAGCGGCCCATGGCAGGATTCTGCCTTCTAGAGAAAGTGGCAATGGCGTAGGTAAAACGACTCGGTGGAAGAATGGCCCTCGATCCAACACTGGACCTGGTTCGAAGGCGCTTCAAGCAAACACGAGCCAGAATATTAAGCTGTGGGTCGGGTGACAGGGCTATGCGCTTCTGTCTTTTATACAGCCTTCAGGCAGTAAATCATCACCTAATTTGGAGTAACCTTCATGATAAAGCAGAAAGCAACTTAGTATGTGTGACCAGATGGCCATTCCATCCACTCGCCCTCACAAGTGCTACTCTTTCTGGGAAATGCAAAAACCAGATTCTTGAAGAAACAAGAAACCTTTAGTTGGACTGGAAAAACGCATCCAAAAAACTGGTATTGAGATAGGATCGGCGCTGACATATGTTGCCACCGGAACGGGTTCAATGCCACTAAAACTTTACGGCCTTAAGTCCAACCTGAGATTACATCATTCAAATGGCTAGCCATCTTTCGCTATGGAACATAATGAACCTTAAATTTTGCCACGAAGTGCCCTGAATTGGAGCGATTTGGTGTGAAAGTTTATAGGCTCTCAGATTATGCTATAGTCCTACCTATCAAGTTTGGAAATAACAAATCTGAGAGATTCAAAACGTTCTGCGGGCGGCCAAAATGGACAGAAAGGTGATGCGGTTGCCTTTTATGATGAGTTAACTGATGTGATATGTCTTACGCATAGGAGGGTTAAAGCTACTCCTAGAGAGAGTGCAACAATGAACATTCTAAACTCTCAAATGACAAAATGAGGATTAGACAGGAATGCATGTCGAAAGTGTTTTTATGAACCTCTTCTCGCGACGTTCGAAGTTTCGAATCGTTTTGTAAAAGGACAATGAGATTCGAGACGCGCCCCTCGGTTTTCCATTCAGACAGAAGTACTATGGCGGTGATGTGCCCAAGGTCGCTGCTATTTGCGCTTGTAGAAGGACTGCGAACATTCTTGGGTATCAAGCTGAGGGCGAAAATTTTGCAGCGGCCTCTTCCACTTTTTCTGGGACAGCAAATAATCCCCTCCATGGAACTATTGAATTGGCATCTCCTTCAGTGAATGAGCACTGAAGCTTCACCTAAAGGAGAGGCGCACCTATGTAGGGGTCCAATTTTACTATTTTCTATTTTCATGGTAAACATGACCAGAACAAAAGTTGAACAGAAAACAGATGACAACCTACATAAGTGTGACCAGATGACCATTGCCCACTTCCAGAAGTGCTACTCTTTCTGGGAAATGAAAAACCAGACCCTGGAACAAACAGAAACCTCAACTTGGACTGGAAAAATGCATCCGAAATACTGGTAATAAGAGTGGCGCCACACATGACTATTTTCTATTTTCGGAAAATCTGGCTTTCTCTAGCTTTTTTGACTTGTGTTCGTTTATTCTATTTATTTACGGGTCCCGTAATATTTGGCGAAAATCGATCGGGAAATACGTAAGTCCTGGAATGGCAATGCGATGAAGTTTCTTTAGATTGAAATTGGATGGACAGGGCTTGAAAGCCACCAGCCCCAGCAGAACTCGGGCGTTAGAAGAAAACTGTGTCAGTAGACGGAATAAGTGCTAGCCCACGAGTAACACCAGATGCGTGCCCATTGTCGCCGACCATAGCCGGCCTTACAAATGAACTTATGGGGACTAAGCTTGACTTTTGGACGAGATACCCCGCGGCACATTTCATGATACGCAACGTGTATTACGGCGTAGCGGCTGATTCAAATACGCACGGTTTAGTGGAGCCATCATTAGTGAAGCAAGGAACCAGAAAAGTCGATCGCTCTTTCCTTATTTGCAGGAAAAAGAAAGAAAGTGTTTGGTAATGACTTCGTTGACGGTGCCTTTTGCTTCTTCTTCATTTATTCAGTCATCTCACAAGGAAGGTCTTTCAGGGTGTGCCAAGCTTTTTCAAAACGGTCTTTTGCATGATATAGAGGCACATGCGGGAACCACAGAACCATGGTTAATTTTTCCTGAACGGCCCTCTGAATACCAAAAGGGGGTCCCTAGTCACACCTTTTTCACCAGTTTTTCAATCAAAGTCTATTTGTAAGGGTTACTGACGTTCCTAATCATGAATTTGGTACTAATTATTCATGCTAACTCCATTTTGCGCGAATTTGGAAACGTCAACTCGAAATGCAAAAATTTGTCACCACGAGGAATCGAACTAGGGACCCCTTTTCTGGTATTCAGAGAGCCGTTCAGGAAAAATGAACCATGCTTCTGTGGTCCCCATATGTGCCCCAATGTCATGCAAGAAACCATTTTGAAAAAGCTTGGCACACCCTGAACGACCTCCCTTGTCAGCATCCAGAACTCCACTATCAATCGCTGTAACCCCCAGCTTGATCTGGAAGTGCTGCTAGGGAAAAAATGCTAAATGACGACCCTATACGCAATATGTAGTAGTAATCAAACGTTATCAGTCCTATGTTGAGAAGAATGAGAGTTGATGAAGCAGAAATTGACACTGCTGCTTGGTACATAGGGTGCTTTTACAGCAAATCGACTCAGGTCTTAGAATACTAAGGAATAGCTCACTAAAGTGCTATCTAATTGTTAGTGGAACAAGTACAAACACCCACCTTTTACACTTTATATTTTTACATTTTTAATCAACTTATTTTTTCATTCATTTAGTCAATATACAATTCATTTCATTGCATGCTCCTCTGCATGAAAGTACGTCACATCAAGGTTTATTCGTCTTTCCCCTGTGTCTTTATTTCGCCAATCCCAACTCACTGATGAGCTCCGGGGATTGACGAAATAATAAGGTTCGTCTGAGGAAGGAGCGAAACGAACCGTATCAATTATTTTGTTATATGGTTTTTCTTTCTTAAATTTAGTGGCAAACTTCACGTCGAGCATTCTAGTGAAATCACCCGACCCACAGAAGTCCCAACCGTTCCCCCCAACCTTTCCCCTCCCCATCGAAGGGCCTCCGTGACTGAAAGTATTGCTAAATGCCATCTGGGAACAGTTTCGTATGGAGGACCGAAAGCGCTGAACCCATTCACTATTGTTAAAACACGTGTGTGCACCCGTAGTCAAATGGTACTAACACAATTTCAAGAGCTTCTTGAGGCAGGGGCGCCAAGTTGAAGGCCGAATTGTGCGCAAACAAAAACTTCATGATCCTCACCCTGTAAACGACTCGTCACACTCCAAAGGGAATCACTCAGGAGAGGTTAATGCAAAGGTTTCCAATCAGTGTATATAGTTCAGAAAAGGTAATTTCGGGGTCTCATCCAGTAAGGGGGGGCATGTGCTGCGACAGTTGGTTTATTTGCGTGAAGTAATCCACTTTTTTCAGGGGAGGGAAGCTCCGGGTGGGTGTAAAAGTTCAGGCGAAATGGTATGCATCCCGGACTAATATTGCAGTAAAAGTCGCGAGTATTACACCTAGGCCCGCGCAACGCTAAACACTCCTATAGTATTCAGGATGCTAGTCTTAGCAAAGTAAACGAAGTGCAGGACTTGGGATTCTTGATCACGGATAATTTGAGCTTTGACGCGCACTGCAAAGTAATAGCCAACAAAGCTACAGTACTAGTACATAATCTGTTCAGAGCTCTTCTCTACTAAGAACACCTCCGTTCTTCTTCAGGCTTATAAGACCTTTATAAGGCCGACCTTAGAATACGGCACTCCCGTGTTCAATCCGTACAATACCGCTACTAATTTTTGTTCAATCGACGGTTTGCGACGGTCGGAAACCGTCGCAAACCGTCGGCTCGCCATAACTCTTTAAAAAATGGTTCGCTCGACCTGCAGTTTATACCATCTGATAGCTCTGCTCGAGATCTACAAGATGGTTAAATTCAATTTCTGAAAGAGCTCCATCTAGGATTGCGCCATGCACTCGACCTCCATCCCGAGAAGTAATGAATATACTTTGTATGTGATGCGCATATAAGTCCTCCTATGCAGCCTGATCATCCCACAGAAACATGGATCTCAACACCCTCAGAATACGCCACGTACCCAACCGTAATTCGATGCCACGCACCGCGCACGTGAATAGCACGTGGGTGGCCAGGGCTGAGGAAGGCGATCGGCGATAAGGAAAAGGCCGAAAACGGTGAAAAACGAAAGTTTCAAGTGGGAACTGAGATGTATATCGTTCGATAGCATTTTGCATGGAGAATCGAACGGTGTACACCACAGCTCCGTAGAGCCACCTGGAAGACCAAAAAATCTGGTTTTTATTTCAGGGCATGACGGAGAGCGATGTTTGAGGCCACACCAGGGAAGAAACACTCGCTCAAGCCCGAGTGTATCATCTTTTTCCAACATACAAGTAAACTTACTCTACGATAGGGAAGAGAGTTCGTCCCTCCCTTCTCGAATTTCCTCAAAACATCCCTTCGAAAATTGGGAAATGTCACAAAATGGATCTAGTGGCAGGTAAACTAGATGTTCTCCAAAAAGTGAGTTGTATACCGTTCGACAGTATTTTTTATGGGGAATTGAATGGTGCACATCTCAGTCTTCTATGTTCATCTGGAGAACCAAAAAAAATCTGATCATATCGCAAGGGCATGACGAGGTGTGATGTTTGGGGTCACACTACGGAAGGAAGACTCACCTGCCACCAAGGTTTCTATGTAATTCCTACAGACAAGTAACCGTAGTCTACGTCAGTAAAGGAAATTTGTCGCTGCCTTCACAGCTTTCTACATAACAGCTGCTCTAAACATGGAACAAAAAAAAGTTGAAGTTGTCGCAAAAAATGGGGCGAGGTGTGATGTTTGGGGCCCCACTACGAGAATGAATGTCATATTCGTAATCAGGGCATCGAATTACCCCAATAGGCAAAGTTTCGACGAAAAATGAAACTTTGAGATTTTGGGGTAATAGTGGAATAATGATGCCCAATCGGCAATAGGGGGAGGCTGAAAACGGTGAAAAACCAAAGTTTCAACTGGGAGGAGTAATGCATATCATTCGATAGCATTTTTCACGGGGAATCCAATGGGGCACATCTCAGGTCTGCGAGTTCATCTGGAAATGCAAAAAATCTGATTTTTATTTTAGGGCATGACGGAGAGTGATGTTTGGGGCCACACCACGGACGGAGCGCTTACCCGTGACCAAATATTCTACCTCTTTCCTACAGACAAGTGACCGGAGTCCACGTCGGTGGAGAGAATTTCTCGCTAAATCGCACGTGGCGCCAAGGGCTGGGAGGACGATCGGCAATGGGGAGCAAAAAAGTGAGAAAAACAAAGTTTTGTGTGAAACCTGAGTTGTACACCATTCGGTAGTATTTTTCATGGGAAATCGAACGGTGCACCCCTCAGCTCTGTAGAGTCATCTGGAAGAGCAAAAACTCTGATTTTCATTTTAGGGCATGACGGAGAGTGATGTTTGGGGCCACACCACGGACGGAGCGCTTACCCGTGACCAAATATTCTACATCAATCTTACAGAGAAGTAACTGGAGTCTACGTCTGTGGAGAGATTCCTGGCTATCTTCTCAGGTTTCCGCAAATCATCTCCTCTAAATGTGGGGAATGTCACATAATAGGTCTACTACTACTGCTGGAAACTGTTCGAAGATTCTCATTTGGAGTGGAAGAATGGGTTGATCAGCGCACGGTTAGCCAATTAGCGCTCTAGAACGAATTAAAGATCGTGAAATTCGAAAAAAAACATTCATTCAATCTCACCATATGGTGGACCGGTTGGGTACGTGGCGTATTCTGAGGGTGTTGAGATCCATGTTTCTGTGGGATGATCAGGCTGCATAGGAGGACTTATATGCGCATCACATACAAAGTATATTCATTACTTCTCGGGATGGAGGTCGAGTGCATGGCGCAATCCTAGATGGAGCTCTTTCAGAAATTGAATTTAACCATCTTGTAGATCTCGAGCAGAGCTATCAGATGGTATAAACTGCAGGTCGAGCGAACCATTTTTTAAAGAGTTATGGCGAGCCGACGGTTTGCGACGGTTTCCGACCGTCGCAAACCGTCGATTGAACAAAAATTAGTAGCGGTATTGTATAAGCTTAAAATAATCAATATGTTGGAAAGAGTTCAAAATAATTTCACCAGAAAGCTTATGATACGCGCGCTAGGGTTTTTGTATGATCAAATTCCTTCCAGTGCTGCAAGAAATAAGAATTTTGGTTTGTCTTCTCTCGCGTCTAGGAGAAAGCGGAATGATCTACTGTTCTTCCACAAGCTCATCCACAATGATAATTTCAAACTTGAAAGCTTTGTGTCGCTTAGGGCATCTGTTACACGTGGTGGTACTATCAAATACAATGTTGGTAGAGCTAAGCTAAATTGTAGACGTTATTTTTTTTACCCATAGAACTGTTCCTTTGGTCGAGAAGTTGAGTAAGATGCAACCAATGTCAATACGTTACAACGTTCTCAAAAAGACTTTAGACAAATGCCAGAGTTCATTAGGCCTTGCATGTTAGTCGTTGTTTTTTTTTGTAATTTCTATTCACAACTTTGTTCGCTGGAGTTGTTGGTTTTTTTTTTTCGAATAATTGTTCGGAGTTTGCTTACACAGCTTTGCTTGTGTAATAAATAATAATAATAACTAAAATCTCGTTGAACTCACCCGATAACTCTTCTACTATTCATTTCCTAAGTCGAGTCACTGATAGATATTATCATTATATTTCTCAAGAATGCTGGCTTGTTAACAAAACTTTCGCCACAAGAAGGACATCGCCCGCACCTCTTTGCCTAACGGAGCAAGTGAGCTTGTAAAGGCGAACACAGCATGTTAAAGGCAAACGATTACATAGTTTCAAGAAGGTTTATTAGAGGTAGACAGGCCTCGATGGTGTTCAATGGTACTTCGTGGCCAAAAATGGAGAAAGCCGTCAAAAAAAAAAAAAAACGCAAAATGGACCCGCTTCTTCGGCCACCAGTTCCCCAGGCGAACAGCCTCAGAAATCGGCGTCAGAATAGAATTCGGTGCAACGCGTTTCGGTAAACATTGATGCCAAACCACACTTCCAGTCAGTTCTCCAGATGTGTTCGCTACTGACAACACAAGACTCGTCCAAATTACCGCCAAAACCATATACTAGGTGGGCGGCATCGCTTTTGGGGGTTGGAGAGACTTTCGCTGCTTCGCAGCAACTAGCAACATTCCGTTCGGGAAAACGCTAAAGCCTCGCTTTCCTGGTCAAGCCAAAGTAACATGTGCTCCCTCCTTATCGTAATCGCTGTTTTCAACAAACGAAAAACATATCAAAATTTATATTTTATTATATTACATATTATTTATTATTATATTATTTGAATTATTATAATTTTTATCGTGAAACCACAAATCAATCAAACCTGATTCACTAGCGGCCCTCTCAACAGTTTTGAGCACGTCTGATTCTATTACGCCTTTCAGCTAATTTTACCAACGTTCGATATTCAACGACCCATCCCTCCACCTTCAAGGTTCGTTTCATCCTTATACAAGCCTTCCAAACAATCACTAAAAAGCACATTCTTCGCCAACAGTCTAACGAATAGTTTACACAAGCTGATCCTTCCTTTCTGGGGTGTGTAGCAACAGAATCGTCCGGAGACCCGCGCTTGTGGTCGCGGCCGCGACGTCGCGACTGTAGTGGACGAGTTGAGCGTCATTCGATTTGAATTTCAAAGGAACGCTAAGCCACGTCCTCCGTCATATATTATTCTACCAAAACCTTAGCCATTAAAGACCAAAACCAATTAAACCGAAGAATCGTATCGAAGATATGGAAGTCGTCTGTGCTCAGCTACAACCGCCGAGCTGCCCAAGTAAGCGTTTCTTGTTCGTATTTGGTATTACTTGAGGTCGGTTTAATTGGTTTTGGTCTTTAATGGCTAAGGTTTTGGTAGAATAATATTTTAGCTCCTTCTTTCTTGCATTTCCGCTTACCATTGTACTTGAGCCTGAAACGTATCCCATTCGCCAAGACACTATTCCCTACTCTGTATTGATAGACCTTAGTGACCTTAGATTGATTTTGATAGAATTTATTCATTCGTGGAGTGCTCCAATCGACAAAGTCCATTATTGCCGCGCCCATCGAAGAAGTGCCGCATTACGGCGCCGCGCAAGTAACCGCGCGCGACGGCGCCACTCCCGGACGATTCTGTTGCACGCTCCCCTCCTTTCTGCCCAAATCGT